ACTATGTTAGGTACTTAAGACATTATCTTATTATCAAAGGTAAGTAAAATTAATGGTCCCATTTTAGAGATGTGAAAACTGAGGCTTAGTGAAGCGAACCCATTGGCTTACAGTAACTAAACTAGCCAGTTATACAGCTCCAACTTAGTTGTCCATGCTCTTCACCATTGTTCTCCATGCAGCTTTCTATACTTTCAGAGTGTCTAGATGAAAAGTGTCTATTTTTAAGAGGAGACTAGTTTCAGAGTTATGAATATGCACAAAGATTCTTCGTAGCCAGAAATCAGATATATCATTTTATTCCATGATACTACATGATTTCTGGGGACAATTAGAACTGGTTAGCATTTGTTTTTCAAATGAGGTTAATAGTAATAATATATTTTGAAGCTTTATGACCAATCAGAAACCAGCATTTGGGTTAAGAGGATCAGCTAAAATAATAGAAAATAAAATATAGTCAAGAAGCAGAGAAATCCAAAGTGTGTGTTGTCTAGTTAAGAGGTAAATATTTAAAAGTAGATAAGGAATGGGGGTAGTTAAATTATACTCAGAGATTTTAATTTCTTTCCTGGTTGACTTGTCTCCCGCCGGCGAGTTAGAATCGCGACTCCCACTTCTTTTCATAGCAGGCTAGGTGTCACTTCCACTATAAACCTGATTTTCTAGGGCTGGCTGTCAGCTTGATGAGCTCTTTGGAAAGTGGTGGAAAACCCCTTTATAACTGTCGCTGAGCGAGTTCCCAACGTATCATTTTCTGTACTTTGAAAATGTTGAGTACCATTATTTTATGCCTCGAATCTTTACAGGCTCTTAGACTTGGCTGCTAATTAGAGCAATTGCAACCTGAAATCATAAATGTGAGTCGCATCTTATGCCAAAGTGCTCAGAGTGCCTGGCATGCCTCAGATGTCACCCTCCAGAGAAGAGGCCACTCTCATGATTCTCATTTCACTGCCTAGAAAAGGCTCCACGCTTTGCCCAACGTGGCAAGTGGCAGAATCAGAACTGCAACGAGTCATGTGCCTTTGTCATCCAGCTCAGGGGCTGGTGGAGTAAAAAGACACTGAGGCTTTTCGTAGTGACAATGGGCATGATTCACTGGGCAGGAGGTGGGTCTTATTTGTCTCCCTAACACCAGAACCTGGAAAGTTGTGGACACCAGTCAGTGTTAATCAAACCAATGCTGCGTGAGAATCCATCAGTGTAAAGTGTCTGCGGAGCACATCGGGTCCTATATAATCTCCCCAAGGGGATTACCTACCCTTCCAAAGGCCAAAGGGATAAGCCCTTATTTTTGTCCCCCATTCCCCACGTTACTCACATAGAGATTAAGCATTTGCCGCAGAGAGAGACCCATCACCATTAGTTTCATTGTCTATAAGTGCGAGGAGCAGAAATATCTCTAATGGGCAACACTGATCAAACTTATGGACCATTGCGATGTCAGCTGAGCACCCTGGGCTGATGATAAGCAGGATGGAGGGTGAGGAGTCCGCAGTGCTGGGACAGAGATGTTCCACACAAGACGGTGGAATGGCTGTCAGTAGGACTTATAATTATTTGCCTGCCTTTCAGGTGAACTTCAGGGCGAAAAGTTGTTAGCTCATCCTTTCTAGTTGATTGTCAAGAGACTGCTAGATGAGCTCTATTGTTTTGGGAGTTGACAGCTTTTTAGAGAACTCTTAAGAGTGGTCCAACCCTGTCTTGTGCAGCTAATTGACCTCCCTTTGTCAAAATGCAAGACTTCTTTTTTTTTTTTGGTAGCTAGTTATTATAATAAGCTATTTCTTCAAAAGTCCATGATATATTGGTCCTCCTATAAAAGCCTTGGATGCTCGAGCTGAAGTCATTCTATCTTCAGTGGCAGAGATGGAGAGAGAGTTTCCCAGGGAAGCTGGCCCCTCTGACAGGCTCCTGATGGGGCTTGTCCAGTCCTTATTTGTCCCTGGAAAAGACCCTTCCCTTCTCCCTCTCCCAGCCCCAGTATTCAGCATAAACCTGCTCGTGCTTTCTCTTACTCTCCAAATTTTGCAGGTGTGGGATGTGATTGACGAAGAAAATTGAAACTAATGTCAAGAATTTGCCTGGTGTAGAGAGTTTGGAGTACAAACATATGTATATATATTTTCTGTCTGCTCATCTTAAAGATTAGGTTAAATTAACAAGCAACTGAGTTGCAAAAGCCTGAATTAATTGGTCCAGAGGTCACTGACAGAATAGATCTTGATTATAGAAACATCTAGATCCAGCTTGTTCAGGAACTACAGAAGTTAGTAGATAATAAATCACAGAACACACCATCTCAGCTGCAACCTGCTGACCTCTGCAACTTTGAGAAGTGTAGCTGGCATCTCTTCAAACCCTGAAAACCATTCCTCCCACCTTGATAGTTTCAGAAAGAGACCCTTGGGGCTGCTGTTCCACAGGTGAGGTTTGGGCTGGCTGTCAGATAAGATCATTGAAAGTCACAGCCAGTCGGCTGCCAGGAGTTACTCTGTAAGGCAATAGTAGTAAGAAAAAAATATGTTAATTGTGCCGGGATCCCCTTGGGGAAGTTCAAAGGGGGCAAAAGAAAAACAGGATCTTTCAAACCTGTCATTCTAAAATATGCGGTGGCACCAATGTGTGAGCCTGAATATATTAAAGAAACATCAAATATTTTAAAATGATTTTTCTGCAAGTGATAAGCTGGAAGACTTGAAAACAGTGTGCACGAAACCTTCACACTCATACTTCGTTTAGTTCTTAACAAATGGCTGGTTTTTTGCTACTCTGAAGGATGTTAATTATACAGTTTCCCAGATGAGGAGAGGATGTTGGTTTGTGTTATATAGCTTCCCTGTAACCTACATCCCTTGATGTTTTCCTCATTCTCCCGGCAGGCACTGGGCTGGGGTTGGGGTTGAGATGTGGAAAAGAAAATGAGGAAGTAGAAGGAAAAGGAATGTGGCATTTACTGATAACTTAACGTGTATCAGGGACTTGCTTGACGCTACTTGGCTCCCCTCAGGGACAACCCTGTGAACTGGGTTATCCTGTGAAGTAGGTTATCTCTATTTGACAGATGAGGAAACTGAGACTTAGAGAAAATTCAGGTCCC